TGCATCCGGCCCCCACCCCGACCCCCACCCTTTCAGATCAGGATTCGTCTGTGGAATCTTGGGAGGGGTGGTAGAGGGTCCGTTCAGGAGGTGGCCTTTTATGAATCCAAATTCCACCTCCAGATGGCGGAAATTCAAGCGCTGCCAATTCAGTCACCGAGGAAAGCAGGTGTGGTGGGGCGGGACTCTGAGATGTAGGTTGGGGGCAGGGAGTTCAGTGCGGGAAGGCGGGGCGGGGGGACTCTCAGGAGGAAGCAAGATGGGGCAGGAGAGAAGTTCACACAAAACAGGCTGCTAACCCAGCGAGACCCAGCCACCCCTCCAGAGTCTCAGGAGCTGGAATGAGCACACACACACACACACACACACACACACACACACACGGCCTGTGTGGCCCAGTCCCTGGAAGCCATCCTGAGAAACACCAGGGCCTCTGCCCAGCTGAAGGCGAGCACCCCCAGATGCCAGAGACACCCCACTTTCTGTCACACACACCCCACTTCAGGATTATTTCTATCGCCTAAGAGCGATTCTCAACCTGTGGGTTGCGACCCCTTTGGGGGTCAAACGACCCTTTCACGGGGGTCTCCCGATTCATCACAGTAGCAAAATGACAGGGATGAAGTAGCAACGAGAATCAGTTTATGGTTGGGGGTCCCCACCACATGAACCGTATGAAAGGGCGGCGGCGGTGGCACGAGGAAGGTTGAGAACCGCTGCTCTGAGGATGGAGCTTGGCCCAGTCTCGGGACTAGAACAGCAGGGGCCTGGCTACGGGTCAGGGGCTGGACGTGGGGTCCGAGGGTAACTCTTTTGGATCAGCAGAGGCAGGCTGGGGGGCTGAAACTGACACCCTCAGGCCTTGCCCCCGCGACACTGCCCACCCGGTCCTGGGGCCAGCCTGGCCCTGGGGAGATGCCTCCAGGGTTTGGGATTCTTGAGTTCTGGGCCCTGCAGGGGATACCGCAGCAGGACGTGGGTCCCCCCCTTGTGCCCACCCACTTCCTGGCTCGGTCTGCAGATTCTCCCTCACGTTCTCCTACTACGGGCTGGTCCTGGACCTGCAGAACCTGGGCAGCGACGTGTTCCTCTTGCAAGTGCTCTTCGGAGCCGTGGACTTCCTGGGCCGGGCTGCCACCCCCTTGCTGCTCAAGTTCTTCGGCCGACGCCTGACCCTCGCCAGCACCAACTCCTTGGCCGGTGTCTCCATTCTGGCCAACGTGCTGGTGCCACAAGGTGAGGGCTGGCAGCGAGGTCGCCGGCTTCCCTGTCCATCCCCCTGCCAAAACACGGGGTCCCTCTCTCTCCCTCTCCAGGCCTACCCCCAATGAGCCCTTGCTGTCCCACCCACCCCAAGTCCTGTCATGTCACCGAGTCCCTCCCCTAAGCATCTTGGGCCCAAGGTGGGGGAGCAAGGTGACCAGGGGCTTCGCTGGCTGGGGCAGCTCAGGCTGAGGACTGAAGGGACAGGGGAGGAAGCCTGCAGGGAGGCAGGAGGGGAGGCGAGGGCGCAGTTAAGGCACCAAGCAGGGGCAGAGACAGAGATACCCAAGCCCAAACTTGCCGTCCTCGAGATGCTGACTCAGGGTGACGCATTAGGACAGGGTGGAACGGAAGCTCTCTGCAGGAGTAGGAAGCCTCCCTTTTCTCCCACAGAGCGGCTGGTGGTTTCAAACTACTGACCTTGCAGTTTGCAGCCCAACGCAGAACCACAATGCCACCAGGGCTTCTCCTCTCTTGTCAAAGAAGCAGGGCCCTTGTGAGCCAAGGGTCAGGCGACTGCCCGCAGGGGGGCTGAGAGGGGAGAGAGGGTGGCCATGAGAGATGAAAACTCCAAGAACATTTCCAGAACCTTCCCTCGTGTGACAATTCAAAAGACCCTTCCTAAACCAAGAGGCAAGAGGGGAGCTGAGGCCTAGGCTGGGGCCCGGCCAGGGGCTGCCAGGGCCTGCACTTGGGTGACTAGGCCTCTTCCACCCACCCAAGGTCCCCCATGAGGGCCAGGGCCCCTCCTGCAGCCAGTGGGAAGGCGGCTCAGCTCCTGGTCTTCCGGGGCTCCGCTGTGGCCTAGGCAGGCACGGGCCATCGGGGGCAGGCCAGGATCACTGCCCACCTGTCCCAGAGCTGGCCTCACCACCACGCCACTCACATGATCTCTGATTTTTCACCTAGTCCCTTAGCAGGCCCCCCTGGGGGCAGT